GTGGAAATCCCTCTTAATCTTTGTCTGGTCAGGTGGTTGTGGCGCAGAAACCATTATCTGTTATATAAATACCTGCATACTAAAAAGCTAAAACCGAGTAGCACGCACTATCCACAGAAGTTATTCTCCTGGTGCATCTTGTTACAGGCTACTTTAATGTCTCAGTGTCACATGTTCACAGTAAAAACAATGAAGATGCGAGAAATTGGAAAATCTTAATACTCATCCTCGTGTTTTGAAAATTTAAATAACATGTGTGTGCATGTATACATGTATGTGTGTATATATATACATATATATATTTATATACATATACACACACACACACGCACATATATATATATATATATACATATATATATATATATATATATATATATATATATATATATATATATATATATATGTATATACATATATATATATATATATGTGTGTGTGTGTGTGTGTGTATATATATATATGTATATATATATACATATATATATATATATATATATATATATATATATATATATATATATATATATATGTATATACATATACATATTTATATATATATATATACATATATATATATATATATATATATATATATATATATATATATATATATATATATATGTATATATATACATATATATCTACACATATATATATTAACGGTATGCAAATAATTCCTTAGTGTTCACCCTTCAACGCATTTCGAAAGTTCTTACATTTGGTCACTTCAGTTGATCTCTTATATATAAAAGAAAGTTCAAAATTCCTTGAGTGTTTCAGAAACTTTCGGCAGGGCTTACCACAAATGCCTTATCTCACCCTTTCGGAATCCTTTAAGCAGCTTCATTTATATTCAATTCTGTACAAGATCCATCTTGACCATGGTTGATAGCTCGAATTATTTTAAAGAGAGAATAAATAACCAACTGAAAATACATCTGTCTGCTTAATTCATCCGACAACAAGCTGTATTGGCCTTAAACATGACTGACGTGGCCAGGCGATTGCAGGCGATGAAGACGGACGGGAAAGTGAAGAGGATCAATCAACTCACGGATAGGGAAGAGGGAGAGGGACAGAGGGTGAGGAAGG